GTTTCTTTTTGTCCCGTCCTCGATTCCCGGGACCGCGGCCGCCGCGCCGTTGCGAAAGCGTGTAATCACATACACATGTTGCCTCCCGCGCCACGCCATGCCAGGGCTGCAAGAAGTGTAAAATTTTAATCTTCGTCCTGGACGATTACCCCGCATGTAATTTAAAGCCGATGCAGGCGAGGAGACTGTTGAGTAGTCGGTTACACGGTCGCGGCGGGCGTAGTATGCATGCCACGGAGGAAATTATTATCTGCTGTGTGTGTGTAATAAGCGCTTTCGGAGACGGCGTGTCCCTCGAGCAAATGAGCGCACTCCTCGGTGCGGCTGGGTAGCAGTAGAGCAAACAAGTCATTAAGCGAGAGGTCGCATGCGACCTGTGTTGCAGAGGCGGGAGGCAGGGAGGCTGCGCGGAAGCGGTGCGATCCTCGCGAGATGACGGAAGATGAGGGCGAGCGCGCGCTGAGTGGGAATTAGTTGGGAGCAACAGGCTGCTGACATTCGGGTGCGATGTGCTCGGCGGGCGCAAGCGACGTGACGTGGCACGCGAGGAGGAGCGCCGCGCCGCGCAGCGCCACGCCGTCGTTTGATGGAAGTGGAGAGGTTAATAGTGTATGAGATTTCTGCTGTCAAAAGATAACTAGGACTCTGGTAGTTTAGGTGTAAGTGACACTTGAGAGGTAAATTATTTTACGGAACTCATTTGTGAAAGAGTATTAATATTCTCAAAAGATGATCTCCTTTTTAAACGCTTTATAGTTTACGTGCGTCATTAATTTACTTTGTCGTTTCTGACTCTGGAACTCGGGAAGAAATTTTCCAGTATCTTTCCAATTTTACTAAAGATCTAACAATATTTGTAAGAGGACTTTCAATCATTATTCTCTAATATTACCTTCATGATTCACTCACTTCAATGGAAATAATTCATTTCACGCATTTATTTTTATTTTCCTTTCTTTTCAAATACCTGTTCATCCTCGCTCTATTAATTTCTTTGTGTTATAATTTGCCTTAAGAAACTAACGATATGAAGAAACTTTGCATGACTTTTAATACAACATCAAGATTATTATAACCATTTAAGGGAAAAATACCTCATGAAAAACTGTCCTTAACTTTGTATCAGATGCAATGAAATTGTTACGCGCTGAACTGTGACAAACACTAAGGGTATCACAACGATTGAATAAAGAGTTAATATTCAACAGTTCCGGTATACAATGTGCATTATAAACTGTCTATTATAATCCTTTACCAACATTGTTGATTATAACGAATACAAGTGAGATAGTTTGTTCACCTCGACTTCGTATCGAATACAACGCAATCGTTACGCGTGCAACAATAATAGTAACACAACAATTGAATAACGAATTAATATTTAACAGCTCGAGTACCCAACATTATTAACTGTCGCATATAATCCTCTACGAATATTGTTGATTATAACAAATACAACTGAGACATTTCGCTTATCTTTATACATCAATTTTCCATCCCTGCCGTAACGACGTACTCAAGACAGAACGCGTCGCGTATCGCGGAATGCCATCGCGCAAGCCCGCTAAGCGCACGGTCGTGAGTCATTGTCATTACTCCTCCCATGCGGAGGTGCGCAGCCTGTATCGGTGAACGTGAATCTGAAGATTAAAATCCTCGCGTTCCTTTTATCCGAAACGAACAAACCTTGACGTTTTGCGACGAGATCGTTATTTAAAATAGTATCTTTGTCCTCGCTAATTGGTCTGTATGGATGCAGCAAAACGGAAACTCGTATAAATTTGGCTCAGCTGTTGAAGTGATTGTGTTATTGTCTGACAGTACATGAGGATACGCTCAGAGTCATTAACTCAAACGAACCAGTGAACGTTGGGCGTTACTCTAGTGACATCTAACTGGACACAGGATGTTTCAGAATAGTCCATTTCAATGTATCCTTTATATATTATATACGCCCTGACGCTGTTGTCTCTACGATGTTTAAATTCCTATTTTTGAAGTCTGTCGTGTCGTATCTATCGCGGTTCTGTTAATGTATGCATTTAATTATAAGAACAATAATACTGACCACGGCATGCATGAGTATAGGGACAAAAGAACAAGAATGATGTTCCAAAAGCATGTATGATTTGTAATAAGATCAAAAGATTAAAATTCTTTATTTTTCCTTTTTTTAAGTTTTGTCTTTCTTTAAAGTACCTAACTAGTCAATAAATTGATGGGGTAAATTACGTCGCAGATGCATCATGTAGTGATAAATGATATGCAAATAAAGTATTGTCGATAATGTTGGTGTTAATGAATACACTTGCAAACTAAAATAAAAACGGATTATAGAATCGGTTTTGATCAGAAAAGTTTGTAAGAAACTTTTAGTATCGAAATTACAGCACTCGAAAATGTTCAAGACGAACTTCTCCTTTATCGATTACCTATCTTAAAAGGGACTCTTTAGCGAAGACTTCATCGTGTGCGCTACTGGGAGAAGTTTTGAGAACAATGCTCTTAGCTTCAGGTCTCCGGTGTTCAAATTACTAACTCTAATTACTAGTTGTCTTTCGAGTGCACAGCAACTTAGAGCTGAAAGTACCAAATATTTGAACTTAACTGCTCGTGTAAGGCATTCAAGAATGAGATGACTTCCGAAAATTAGAGAGTTTCAGGTTTTCTCAAACATTACGTGACGTAAAGTAAACAACTTTGAGTCAAGTATGTATATTGTTCACGTTAAACTTGGAGTTTGCTGCTTCTCAGGTGACTTTTATTGTTTCTTCGTGCATAGCAATTTTTATTTCTACCTCAGTAATTAACACTTCCTCATGCGAAACTATGACTCATTTGCATTTTAACAGATAAATATCAGTTTAAAAAAAGTTGCCATTAAAGCCCACGACGAGTTTTAAAATACGTATCTTACAACCCCAGATCGTATTATGAGTTTTCTTATGGTCTTGCGTAAATATGAGATGGATAATTGATTAATTAAAGAAGTTTAAAACTGTAAGATATACGCGTAATATTGCGCGGCGACGTGACTATGAGAGCCAACATACTGCATATGACCAGACCTCCTCCGTTTCATATCCAACAAAGTCGTAGCTGCCTCCTTTAACATGATTCTTACTATTATCTCTCTTTTTGAAACATAATACTAACAGAGTTTTATAAATATAAATATTTGCCTGGATATAAGTAATTGCACTTTTGTACTGGAGTGAAAATTTCTTTCTAATTTTATTACTAACCTATTAACATTCTCACCTTTCTAAACTTCGGATTCTAAACACAAAGTTTTTCTACGTTTTAAGGAAAAAAGAATTTTCGCAGTACAATGTTCTTAAAATTGGAAACATTCTCTACATTTTCTCTATATTAGTGAGAATTTTCCGCGGTTAAAATTTCTCGAAATTAGCGAGAATATTCCGCGGCAAAATTTCCTCGACATTAGCGTAACTACACAAGCGGTCAGCCTCGTCGCCGACGGTAGACGAGCGGGCCCGTTGTCTCGGGCTGAATGATGATCTCCGGGCTAATTCGACAAGAACGCGTCCGCCCGCACAATCCGCCCGCGGGCGGAGAGGCCCGGGGCGACGCGGCGCCCTCCTGCGCAGAAGTCGCTAACTGCCGCAAAAAGCCACCGCCGCGCGCCGCGGCAGCGGACGTCGCGCGGGTGCTGATGAGCCCAAAAACGGGGTCGGGGGCTGGCCGCGCTTTTTGCCCTCCACTTCGCGTCGCGTCGACGCCGCGAGAGGCGCCGGCGTCGGTGACGTCCCCGCGCGAGGAGGATGTCGCAGGAAGCAAGGAGTGGTCTGAGTGGGGATGGTGCGAGGGAATTTTGCGGGAGGCATATGATGATTGATTGATTGATTGATTCGTGATGAGTCCGAGCGCCTCAACTGCTAAGAACATTATTCCCAAAAGGGTAGTGCATGTTTTAATCGCTTGAGGTGGCCCGGTGATTTTCCCCCGCACGCTGGCCGCCGAGATCTGGCACCCACTTAAGTCGGCTTGCGGGAATTTTTTCTCAACTAGGTGGTGTTTTCCATCAGCGTGGCATCGCCCCAGCCGGTACAAGCTCGAAGCTTCCGACTGATCTCCCGACAACTGTGGTAGTGTATTGCGTGTAAATGTATGTAAGGGAGTCTGATAGGACAAGGGAGATAAAGGAAAGATCGCGCGCGGACCGTGGCCCGTTGGTAGGGAACTGCTAGGAGTATACGGTACTGATCGGAGAAACCACGGAAACTGCCGATCAGAGCAGCCAATCTTTAGAATTATCTTTCACACTGCGGCTGTACACTCGTAGCTGATGTAGAAGGACCATTTGACATCAAGTCAATTACCCATTACGAACTGTAACATAGGCCTAGCCTGAATCAAAAACATTATTTATATCTTTTTATATGGTTTAAAGATGATTTTTACAAATATTTCATGTATACAGTAATATTCAGAGTCTCAGAGTTCACCCAGTTCTATACATGTTCAAACAATTTATACCCGATACCTTTTATTTATTTCAGGTTTCAATATTAAACAGTATATCAGTATATAAGTTATTACAGAAGAGTTATTTACTAATCCCTTTTTATTTTGTTTTGTAATTTCTATCACACTTAATGAAGCCTAAATCATAATACGGTATCAAGAATCAGACTCAATAGCTCAGAGTTTTCAATGGCTAAGAGAATTGCTAACCTTTAAATCTTCTTTACTCGCCATAGTCGATGAAATTTACGTTATGGAGCACATCAGCCATTCAAAACGTACAATGAAATGTTGGCATTCGTGGTAATAGTCATTTTTAGATTTGGGATATCCCAGAATTTTATTGTACACATACAGACTTGTAATTCGTATTTGCATATGAATCACAAAACCAGATCAGAATGTCCACATTTACTGCACAACATTTACTAAACTCCCATTCTGACGGACATTCACTGTCATTGTAATGTATATGTAAGTGCACGTGCAAATGAGTTCCCTTTGTGTTGCAGACGCCGGCGCCGGGCCGCCCCGCGCGGCCGACGATGCCATCATGAGCTCCTCGACGCACCTCAGCGAGAGCAACATCCGCCGCTATGGCAAGGCGCACAGGTGAGCAGCTGCTCATCTCCCTTCCTACGAGAGTTGTCAATTGACTTCTCGATGGACATATCTTATGTATTAGATAAAGGAAATGTTACAAGAAAATGACTGCAATAATAAAATATCCGGACGGTGATGAAAAGAAATTCACTAGTTCTTTTCAAAACGTTTCGTTTAACGTAGGCAAAAATGAAATGTTCTGTAAGAGAAATTGTTTTTCTCTTAATTTTAGTGAAGTAAAAAGTGTGAAAATATTTTATTTCTTCGACATTAAGTCGTTGCGATGGAAAGTCTAATTACGTGAGTTGTTAAAAAACAACAAACTATATTTGTTCCTGGTATTGTCGTAAGTCAAAAAACAAAAGCGGTTAAATATGTGCATATGAAAATACATCAATGTTAAAACGTCGATTTTATACAAAACTTTAAAATACACAAATGTTAGATTTATGTGCTTGATGTATTTTCTACTTTGAAATTACATCTCATCCGAATGACAACAAATTTCTTC